GTTGCAACTGTAAGAAATGTGCAGATCTGGTAAGGAAAGAATAATTGGATGTAATGACTTGGAAATCCTTTGAGGTTTCCGGGATTAACTGTTTCAAAAGAAATTATGTATGTAGATCTCAAGCTTGGCCAAGAGGTACAAGCCAAAGAAATATGTTTGGAGTCAATAATACATACATAATTAAGAATTGAAACTGTGTGTGTAGGTGCATTCGTCGAGGAGAATGCATGGAGTGGGAAAGCTGGGGTAATAACAGAGCCCCGGAGGACAAAATATTTAAGAATTAATTAGTGATTGCAGAATCTACAGAGATTGGGAAGAAGCAGTAAGAATGGTAAGAGGGAAACCAGGTGAGAACTGGGTTACAGAATCCAAAGGCGAAAGTAAAGTCATTTCATAAAAAATAAAGTAGCCCAGAGCATCAAATGCCACAGAGGTCAAGTAAGAGAAAACTTTTGGAACGTCCATTGGAACTGGAACTGCAGGAAGTCACTGACATTTGGGGGGAAGGCAGAGTCATTGGAAGAGCTGAAGGAGACATTGAATGTCAAATAATGTGGCTGTAAAGGAAAGAAGGGGTGGAATGAGAACTTATGGGAAAAGGGGCCTGAGGTTAAGGAAGGGATTTTTTAAGCCACTTGAACATCCACTTATTATCTCATATTTATTATATAGATATGTATATGAGAAGTCTGTCATGACTTCACTGGGTTTCCTCCTCAGGGTCTTCCAAGGCTAAAATCAAGGTGTCAGTTAAGTTGGCTCTTATGAGGAGGACCTACAGAAGAGTCTACTTCCAAGTTCTTTTAGGTTGTTAGCAGAATTAAGTTCCTTATGGTTATAGCACTTCCTCCAGAGGACACCTGAATTCCTTGCCATGTGGTCCCCTCCATCTTCAAAGTCACAGTGAAATGAATCCTATCATGCTGCAAATCTCTGTCTTGACTTTTGTTTTTTGTTTTGCTACTAGCTTATATCTTAAAAGATTTGGGTGTGCCTGGGTGGCTCAGTTGGTTAAGTGTCTACCTTCAGCTCAAGTCATTATCTCACAGTTTGTGGGTTCGAGCCTTGCATCGGGCTTTGTGCGGACGTCTCAGAGCCTGGAGCCTGCTTTGGATTCTGTCTCCTTCTCTCTCTCTCTCTTTGCTCCTCCTCCCTTTGTTCTCTCTCTCTCTCTCTCTCTCTCTCTCTCAAAAATAAATAACTTAAAAAATTAAATAAAATGTTAAATTTTGGTAAAACACACATAACATCTTATCCACTTTTAAGTAGTGTTAGGTATATTCACATTGTTGTGCAACCAATATTCAGAACTTCTTCATTTTGCAAAACTGAAACTCTGTACCTTATTAAGTAACAGCTCTCCATTTCTCTCTCCTCAGTCCCTGTAAACCACCATTCTACTTTCTGTTTCTATGAATTTGACTACTCTAGGTACCTCATATAAGTGAAATCATACAGTATTTGTCTTTTTGTGATGGCTTATTTCACTTAGTATAATGTCCTTAAGGTTCATCCATGTTACAGTGTATGTCAGAATTTTCATGGGGAAGAGAATTTTCAAAATGGAAAATGCGAGAAAACAATGGACAGAGCAGGCCACAGGAAAGAAACCAAGATGTTTGTTAAGACTGGAGAAATTCTGCTTAAATTCCAACCACCTGAGACCCATTTATTTGATCCTCAAGACCTTCTGTTCTTTCTGTCTCTCAGGTTAAAAGCAAATATACCTGGAGGTAAGTAGGACTTTAAACATCCAAGGATTGATTAATCTGTCAAACTCTAGGCCCTACACGAATGAGAAGGCAGGTAGGTATCTGTAAAGGGGAAGTAAAGGCCGCATGAGTGAATGGAGAAGAGGTGAAGGCTGGTGAAAGGGACAAAGGTCAGACTGGTGGTCAGAAGCCATCCTTCTTAAGAACTCTACACAAGTCATATAGATTGTCTCAGAATGCAACTTACAACCTCACTGAAGAAGATTTTCAATTTCTTTTTTTCTTTTTCTTTTTTTTTTAGTTTATGTGGATATCAATACTGCTTGTGTTTAGAGAAGACATGGATGATAAGGGGAGAGAGGCCAGAAAGAGCCCTTGGATGGTGGGAAATCAGACTGAAACTAATACTTCTGTGGAGAAATTTTTCTCCAGGCGTGTCAGTTAGACCTGGAGAAGTGGGAACAACTGTGCTGGAAAGCTGGGGTGTCACATGGCAAAGGGTTTAGCCCTCAGGGCCTTACAAGACTCTATCTCTAGCTATGACCCCTCCTCCGACCTCTTGTATACTCAGCGGCCTCCTTGACATCTCTGCTAGATGACTAAAAGGGATCTCAGAGTTAACATGTGCAAATGCACGTGGCATTTTCAATCCCTCCCCCAAATCCAAGCCTCTTCTACTCTTTGCCGGTTCAGAAGGCGCCACCAGTACCAATCCGGTTGTTTAGGCAAGGTTCTAGAAACCCTTCTCACTTCCTGCATGTAATCTATCAGCCAATTCTGGCAGTTCTACCCTGCGAGACTTTCCCTCCTTCCATCTTCACTGAACTACCCAATCCAAGCATTATTATTTCTCACCTGAACTATGCAATTGGGCTGGCTGGTCTTTTTTTTTTTTTTTTTTTTTTTTTAGTTTTTATTTAAATTCCAGTTAGTTAACATAGAGTGTAATATTAGTTTCAGGGATACATATAGTGATTCAACATTTCTGTACGACACCCAGTGCTCATCATGACAAATGCATGCTAATCCCCATCAAGTATTTCTCCTCTCCTCCCACTGTGCCTCTGGTAACCATTAGTTTGTTCTCTAGAAGAGTCAGCTTAGTTGATTGAGCGTCAGACTCTTGATTTCAGCTTAGGTCATGACCATGGTTGTGGGATCAAGTCCTCTTAGTGTGGAGCCTGCTTAAGATTCTCTCTCTGCCTCTGTGCCTCCCTCTCTCTCTCTAAAAGAAAGAAAGAAAAGAAAAGAGTTTGTTTCTTGATTGGTCTCCCTTTTTTCCTCTTTGCTTGTTTGTTTTGTTTCTTAAATTCCACATGTAAGTGAAATCATATGGTATTGGTCTTCCTCTGACAGACTTATTTCGCTTAGCTTAATACTCTCTGGATCCATCCATGTCACTGCAAATGTTAAGACTTCATTCTTTTTTATGGCTGAGTAATATTTCATTTTGTATATATAACACTTCTTTATTCATTCATCAGTCCATAGACACTTAGGATATTTCCCTAATTTGGCTATTCTAGAAAATGCTGCTGTCATAAACATTGGGGTGTATGTCTCTCTTTGAATTGTTATTTTTGTATTCTTTGGATAATTAATACCTGCCAGTGAGATTGCTGGATCATAGAGTAGTTCTATTTTTAACTTTTTGAGGAACCTGCATATTGTTTTCCAGAGTGGCTGCACCAGTTTGCATTCCCCTCAAATAGTGCAAGAGGCTTCCTCTTTCTCTACATCCTCGCCAACACCTGTTGTTTCTTGTGTTTTTGATTTTAGCCATTCTGACAGGTGGAAGGTGATATTTCATTGTAGTTTTGATTTACATTTCCCTGATGATAAGTGATATTGGGTATCTTTTCATGTGTCTGTGGCCTAACTGGCTTTGCTGCTCCATTTTTGCCAAACTAGAATCAACAATTCAGCCTCAAAATCCTTTAATGTCTTTTTTGCTGCACCTAGGATAAAATCCACATTCTCTATTATGGGCTCTGGACCGTGTTAACATTTCTGATCTCACCTACTATTTTTCTTTTCTCTTGCCACTTTCTAGGTGCACCTGACTCCTTTCTGTTTCTCACGCTCCAAAGTTTTATTCTTATTTTAAGGCTCCTCTTTCCACCTCCAACTCCCTTCCTCCAAATCACCTCATTTCTGTCTTATTATTATTCTGATCTCAGCTCAAATGTTACTTCTTCAGAAAGGCTGCCTAAATCTAAGGAAAGCTTTCACCTCAAGCCCACTGTGGTACACCACCTCCTTTTATTTCCTTCATAGACCCTTTCACTTATCTGGAGAGGCCAAGTTTTATCTGTATGTTTGTTATTAGAGTATAAAGAGAAAAGATCTAGCTTGTCTTGCTACGGCACTCTCACAATGCAGAACAATGTCTGGAACAAAGTAGGTGTTCAGTGAATATGTGTGGACTGAGTAGGTGAATCCTGCATGTTGCCATTGGATGAAACAGATGGTGAGCAAGACACCCTGTTTTCAGAATGAATTTCTGCTCTTGTGAAAAGATGAAAGAAGAGCATATTATTCAACGAATTAACAATGACAGTTCTGGATTCTACCGGTTACAGGGTAAACGTGTTTGAAGGTGAAAACAATGTGGTGTTGATCTCTCTTCCTGGCTTTGCAAAGAACCAGGAAGATGAAATCAGTGATTTCAAAATGAGTCACTGGAAACAAGTGGTTTTCAAAGAACACACCTTGAAGTTAAACCAGGTGACACCGAGGGAGGAAGAAAAACATGATCATCTTTTAACCCTTATAAACTTTTAGCAATTCTGTGGAGGTTCATCAGTTAAAATATGTGCACTGAAACACACGCTACGGCATCTTCAAGGAATCAGTGATCCAGGTAGTCATGACGGCTGTTTTCCTGGTAGCTAATGGCTGACTTGTAATTTGCTGTAACTATTGTTTTCAAAATGGAAAACATTCTAAAATTTTCCCTTAATTAAGGGAGGTGATGGAAAAAACATGGGCTTTAGAGCAGGCTAGACCCAGGTTGAGTCCAAGTTTTGCAACTAAAAAATTCTGTAGGGATGTCTGGACGGCTCAGTAGGTTAACTGTCTGACTTTGGCTCAGGTTATGATCTCACAGTTCATGGATTCACGCCCTTTGTTGGGCTCTGTGCTGACAGCTCAGAGCCTGGAGCCTGCTTCAGATTCTGTGTGTGTGTGTCTCTCTGCCCCTCCCCAACTTACACTCTGTGTCTGTCTCTGTCTCTCTCTCAAAAATAAATAAACATTAGAAAATTCTGTGACATTGGCACTTACCTGAGCTACAGATTCTTTATGTGTAAGATAGGACCAATGGCAGCTCATAAGTGTGTTCTGTGGGTGAAATGAAGCAATAATTATAAAAATGTTCCCACACAAAATAGGAATTTCAGAAATGATATGAATTATGAATATTACTTGTGAAACCCACTCTTTAAAGATATCAAGCAACATATATCATTTTTTAATGCCTCACTGACAACAATAAGAATAGATAATTTCTGTGGTGCCTTGTTAAAATTGCTATAGGTGCACGCAGTATGAAATCTGGATGTAAATACGTGTCAAAACCACTATAGCATTAAAATTGTGCTTTCCTGAAATTGACTCTGATGTCAGATTCGTTTTTACCTATTTATTTCCTTCTCATGAAATTCAGGTGAACATGGCAAACTTGGGACTTGTAGGGCAGCCTGCTCTGGCCACTTTCCTGAAAATTGTATTAGTTCAGTGAAGTCTGTTCTTCCATGTGTGGACTTTGGATCCTCCAGAAGGGCCTCCTTTTTCTCTGGTGATGCCTTCTTTGACAGGCTGTGAGGCAGTGTTTTCTGAAGACTTTTCCATGAAAAGCTCGACTTAAGAGATGTTTCAGTGAAAGAGGATTCTGTGATGAAATACATTTGGGAATTAGATGCACAACACACAGTGACATCTTCAGGAAATGTCACTAGAAATGTCCTAGAATTAGAAAAAAAATTCTGATTTGCTTAAACCAGTGTTTGCTAAACTATTAGACTATATGTTTAGACTATAGACATAACACCTATTAATAGGAAATTTGCTTGCTAAAGAACACATTTGAAGTAATACTAATATAAGAAAATGCTACATTTCTTAATAAAATAAAACCATCAACACCTTCAGTATTGTCCCTGGAAGGAGAAGCTCCTGTAGGGAATGAATGAGACATTATTCTGACCCCAGAGTTTTATCACCTTCCAAGGTAGCATTTCTCTGGGGAACACTTGGAAATGTGGGGGGACATTTTTTTCTACTGTGATCATACTTGTACATTTACATAGAACAAAAAGAGCATTGCTTTATTCTTTTTAATTCTTTTATATTATAGTTTGGGAGCTATGTTAATTTCTTTATTCATACATGTAGGTTAGTTATATTCCCTCTAAATTTTATTTTAAGGTAGCAGAGGGAGGGTTATGAAATATTTGTTCCAAAAAGATGTTGCTGGTTTGGGGCCAGGGGTAGAACCACTCATTTAGGTGTTTCTTACTTATTTCGACTGCTACCTCCACAAAGGCCTGAAAGCATCAGGAGGTCCTCCTTCTTTACATTTTGTCCTAAACATGGATAAAGCTACTTTCCTTAAGTCCTCTCAGGCTGGACACAGGCTTGAGGAAAAGGAAACCAAATCAAACTAAACTCTGTTACCTGGTAAAGGAAAAAAGCAGGGAAATAATAACGGAGAGTTGGAAGGATCCTACATAGGAAGAATCTAAACAATCTGGCCTCCAAGGTACAATTGTTACAGGGTCTTGTAGGATCTGTCCCATTCCATGTGTACCCCAGAGATGTAGAAATGATTGACCTCCGTCTGTAACTTTCTGGGACCTGGCTCAACTCCATGAGTTGATTATCAGTTTTTAAATGTGTCACCCAATAAACACTTTCTTAGAAATCTACATCTTTCAAAGCCCAGACCAGGAAAGAGACAGCAGTTTACTTTTCCCCTCAGATATGTGAGAACTGGGATCTGTGTCTTCTGGCAGAAGGCTCAAATATGGTGGCTTAACTTAGAATATTTCATTATTTCATATAGAAACTCTGGAGATCAGCATTCAGAATTGGTATAAATTTGTTAGAACCTCTGGCTTCTTCTAGTTGACCTCTCTGTCTCTTAGGGACAATGTGTATATTCCAAGATGTCTGCTGGAGCCCCAGTTATACCACAGAACAGAAACAGAACATACCAGCCAACAGAAAGAAAAAAAAGAAGAGAAAATCATCCCTTCTCCCTTGTTGGACACTTTACAGATTTGTTTGCATCCCATTGGCCAAAACTTGGTCATATGGTTGGTTATATCTAGTCACAAAGGTGACTAAGAAATGTAATCTTCATTCCAGGAAATCACAAAACTGCTAAAAATCAATGGGTTCCTTAATAGCTTTTTTTTTTAAGACAAAATCTCTGCCATCCTATTGTTATAGAAGAATCTCCAGATTTGTTCTGGATTCCATATTTCCAGACTTGCCTCTTACCTATTCGATTGAGTTTAGGAATGACATCATACACTTCAGGTGTGACCAGTGACCCTTATAATTCTAATTAGTCATGCGATGCCTTATTTTATCACAATAACATCAATATGGTAGAAAATCATCATATACTTTAGTGAGCTATGCAGAGATGTTTTCTTATGTGAGTGCAATTAATTTTTTTCTCTGTTTTTTTTTTTTTTTTTTTTTGCATCACTGATAGTGAAAACATCTTGAAAATACTTTTTTTCCACTTACAGCTTCTCTGGTGAGATGAGATTGAATAATTTTTTTTCTCTAACTATATTTAGGCTTGCTTTGCCATACTTTGGTTGGAGACATGAAAACTAGCCCTTGTATAAATGTACATGACTATGTCAACTCCAATTATTCAGAAAACATTATGATTTTTTATTGAGCATTATACCAGAAGTAGAATAATTAGAATGTATGGCTGGAAACTAGAGAAAATGTGTGAATTCCTTGGTTTTATGAAAGGTGCATCTTTACTATATCTGTGCAGGTTTGGATGAATCGCCAAAGTTGCCTCTTCAGATTACCAACATCACAGCAGGTAAATAAACAGTGTTGTCCTGATCAACTTGTATGTTTTATAGCATACATACTTCTTGCTTTTCAGTGAAAATTTTACATCCTCAAGTTCTGTAACCTTGAAGTGTCTTTCACTCTGAATAATTAATGATGATGATGATGTAAGCATCCTTTCCATAAGCCCAGAAAAATGCAGTATTTTGCATCACTCAGCCCTACATATTCCTGAGAATCCCCAAAGAATGCCTACATGTCCCACAAATCTATCCTTGTGTGGCTTCCCCCTCAGCTGATCATTCTGTTCCAGATGACTTCTCTCTGCTCTGAGAATCTCTTGCCATAAAAGTCTCAAGATCGGTGCTGTTTTTTCCTTGCACTGATTTGTCACTGTATGGAACCAGGCTCTATCCTTAATTTCCCAAAACATTGATGAGGTTAACAAAAGTGACTGATGGCTTGGGAAGTACAAACAGAAGGAAGAAAGGACGAGCTTAAGCTTTTCCACCAGATATTGCTATTCCTGGACCCCCCCCCCCCCCCCACCTCCTCCCACCACCACCATCCACCGCTCATTGCCTGTCAGAGGGGAAATCCTGTCTTGAGTAATTTTCTCAGCAGGCCTTCAGGAGTTACCTTTTTCTCATAACAGTGACTTCACCTATGCCCCTTATCCCCATTCCTAAACTCCCTCCCACTCTCCCAATAGCTGTGCAGACAACCAAACAAGCAAACACTGTGATCCAGTACTAGTTAGAGCAGCTGGGAACATAGTCTAGTTTCTTTTATAAGATCATCAAATACATTGTAGATTTGTGCATTTTCTCTTTCATTAAAATAATGAAACTTAAATCAAGGAATAACTTCACTAAGATGCCAAATTTTTGCTTACAGTATGGTGCCAGCAAAGTTACCGTTAAGTCTTAGTTCTACCTTGATGCAGTGAACAGAGAACACCTCCACTGACTACTAAGCCATATGCCAGGTGTTGTGCCTGTGATGAGGTCCCAGGTTGTTTCAATGAGTATGGGGTATAGGGCAGGTGGCTGTGGCTTCTCCTGTTTTCCAACCCCATCTCCTATGGTCTCCTATGTTATGCTGGCACTCTCCTTTGACTCCTTTCCCCTTGCCCAAGTTCTTAACTATCCTCCCCAATGGGCCTTCTCATGGTGCCAGAGAAGCAACTGCTCACCTGTGGGGTCACTGTCCCTAAAGTCCATCTCTTTCATGCCTTCCATATTAATTCACATTTGTCACCCTCTTTCCTTTTCTCTGCTTTCCTTCTTTCTAGCCTCTTACATTTTATCTCACTTTATTCACATTTCTTCAATAATGAGATATATAGATATTGCCATCTAATGAGTCTTTTCGTCCATTTCATAGCCATGGGAGGAATTTAACTCTCTAGAATTCTGTTTCCTTCATTTGGTTCCTTCATCTGGGTTTTAGAAATTGCTTCTCTACCACTGAGAACCTTTTGCTTTTCTCTTTTCAAGTGTCTTGGACATTTTTGCACTTGGAGCTATTACAAAAGTCTAATGGCTCCAGAGAACTCCAGTTAGGAGAGCTAGAGTTTTTCTGTACATAAATCATTGTAACATTCCTTAGTATTCAAGGTATGCTGCATACCATAATGTTCAGAACTGAATTAGAAGTTGTGTTTTTCAGGAAGGCACATCTCAATCTTGGAAATGGGCATATCTTTGGGTTGTTGATGCTCCAGAAAGTTGCAGTTTTATTTTATCCACTATTGGTTTGGGGGGATTGTGAGTTGGTTAACAATGATTTAGGATATAAGATTAACTGTAAAGAAGAAATAAAGTTTGTATGAAACATTCTGAATACAACAAAAGAAAACAAGGAGGAGTGAGGATAAACCATTGTATTAGTTGAGAACTTTTTGATTGTAAGTAGCAAAATTAACTTAAAGAAACATAGGATTCATTGGTTCATGAAGCTAGAAAGAATGAAGTACAACTGGCTTTCAGGTCAGCTGGATACCAGGATTCTCTCTTTGCTTCTCTACTGTCTCTGCTCCCCTTTGCCTGGTGGTGCTCTTCTCTCCTATGGTAGATAGATTTTCTCCATGCAAATGGCCAAGGTAGCTCACATGATTTATTCATTGCTCCAGGCTTAAGGAAAATCTTCCCAGTTCAGTGACCATAGAGGAACAGATGGACCTTTTCCACCCTGCTTCAATGCATATAAATCACAGTGAATGAATCAGATTTGCTCCACTAAGGTCATGAGCCTATCACTTTGCTGTAACTGGACTATACCTGGCCTGGCCCCTGTCACTTGGCCTCTCCTGTGGCAGGTGGTGTGTGTATATGTATGCGTCTGTTTGCGTGTGTGTGGGGAACGATACTGGCAGCTCCCCAGAATCACGCTGTGTTTTGAGGGAGGTAAAAGCAGTTACCTCCAAAAAGCGGTTACCTGTAAAGGGGAAAAAAGAGATGAGATGTTTAGCAGACAAAACAACATTCACTATAGAGATGACAAAAAAAATCAAATCATTTCCCAACTTTGGAAAGGGAGTAGATGGAAAGTAGGATAATAAGACAAAAAATGCAGGAGGGAAAAGTACAAATTTGTAGAGAGGATATGAAATTAAAAACAAAGATCACAATGACAAAAATATTTGCAGATGATCCTAAACATTTGAAATTGTTAGGCATTGGAGAATAGTTAACAGTAGAGTGTGCTATTAAAAGCAGGATAAACTGAAGTTTGGAAACGTTTGAGGACTAGAGTAATGTATATTGATAGAAAAATAAGTGGTCTCAGGTACCTGGTTTAAATGTCATCTACTTGTTGGTTTAGGATGGGATTGAGTGGATTTCCTGGAATACTCAAACTTCAAAGTGGATTTGCAATGAGAAAGAAAGAAGGAGCAAAGGTGGGAATTTTGTCTGGGAGGATATGCGGGTATGGGAAGATCGGCAATTATGCCTTCAAAGCTTTAAAGAGCTGGAAAATGCAATGGTGACCTCAGCCAGAGTTCCTGTCTGCAGACCAACACAACCAACCCCAGGCAGCCTGAGCACCAGAGTAAATTTCCAGGGAGGATATAAAACAGCTTCATCTGGATGGAGGCTTGTGCCAATGTCAAGAATCACACAAACAGTACAATACAGGGAAGTGTGGCCTATGTTTGGCACCATAAGGTCCAAAAGTTCATGGATTATTCTTTCCTTTGGAAATAAACAGCTGGAAATCAAATGAGGTAAAAGGAAAATTACTCAGTAAGAACAAAGTGTAAGTTCTTTAGGGTTACTGATTAAGTAAATGCCTACCTAACCTCTGGAGAAGTTAAGACTGTTACAAATACCCACTCCATCTAATCCCCTTAGCTGGTATAAGATGCTGGTCAGGATCTTGACCTGCCTTCACAGCATAGTAAAACAGCCTGCTTCTAGGCTTATAAAATAGTGCACTAAGATGACAAGAAAGTGGGCTTCGATCCTGGCTTTACCACTTGGGTATGACATAGTAATTTAACAGTCTGGGCCTCAGTTTGCCCATTTGGAAATGGGGACCCTGAGACTAATAACCTAGATCTCTTATTTCTTTTTTTTTTTTATTTTTTACATCTTTATTTTTTTTATTTTGAGAGACAGAGAGAAAGCGGGGGAGGGGCAGAGAAAGAGGGAGACACAGAATCTGAAGCAGGCTCCAGGCTCTGAGCTGTCAGCACAGAGCCCGACGCGGGGCTTGAACCCACGGACTGTAAGATCATGACCTGAGTCGAAGTCAGACACTTAATGGATTGAGCCACCCAGGAGCCCCTAGATCTCCTATTTCTAATCTAGAATACTTTCCCCTAAATAACAATATTTTCCCTTCAGTAGGTAGCTGTACAAACTGAATAGAAGGATACGTGAAGGCACTGTATAAAGTGTAGTCAGAAAAGATGACTGACATTTATTGAGAACATTCTATTATCTAGGTATTTGGGATACAGGAATGACTAATACACACCCTTGAAGGGTGTGGTAAACAGAATGAAGGCACCCCAAAATTCCACATCCTAATCCTCCCAGCCTGTGAATATGTTACCTTGCCTGGCAAGAGATTTTGTAGGTGTGGTTACATTAAAGATCTTAAGATAAGGTTATCATGAATTATCTGCTGGGTCTACTGTAATCACAAGGGTCCTTGTAAGAGAAAGAGGGAGGCAATAATCAGAGCCAGAGAGAAGGTGATGTGATAATGGAAGCAGAGGTCTGAGTGTTTTGAGGAAGGGGCCCTAACTCAAGAAATGGGGGCAGCCTCTAGAAACTGGAAAAGAGAGGGAAATGGATTCACTCCTAGAGCCTCCAGAAGGAACACAGTTTTACCAACACCTTGATTTTACACCCATAAGACACATATTGAACTTCTGATACCCAGTACTGTGAGATAATACATTTTTGTTGTTTTAAGCCACTAAGTTTACAGGCATTTGTTTTTAAAATTTATTTTTAATGTTTGTTTATTTTTGAGACAAAGCACGACTGGGGGAGGGACAGAGAGAGAGGGAGACACAGAATCCAAGCAGGCTCCAGGCTCTGAGCTGTCAGCACAGAACCCAATGTGGGGCTCAAACTCATGAACCTTGAGATCATGACCTGAGCCGAAGTTGTGCACTCAACTGACTGAGCCACCCAGGTGCCCCAAGTTTACAGGCATTTATAATGGCAGCAACAATAAACTCATTGAAGTGGCTTACAGGATATGAGATGAGGAAATCCACAAACAGAGAATTTTAATTTGGTATGATAGAGCTATGACAGGGTGTACACAGTGTCCTGTGGAAGAAGCAATGCCCCTCACCTAGTTTGGAGTTGTCGCAGGGCTGCTCAAAGACAGCTTTATGAGGGCAATGAACTTGCTCATAAAGATGCCTTTTCTCTTGCCTGTATTGCCACTGTACCCTCTCTGTTGTTTTTCCCTGTCAACCTATCAATATGATCCTAAACTTGTAACTTAAAAAGTTCTGCCTTCTAATGAGAAACAATGAAATCTGGCCATGTGTAGCAACATGGATGGACCTTGAGGGTGTTATGCTGAGCGAAGTAAGTCAGGCAGAGAAGGACAGATATCATATGTTTGCACGTATAGGAGGATTAGGAGGAACTTAACTGAGGAACAAGGGGGAGAAGAAGGGGGGAAATGGTGAGGGAAAGGGAGAGAGGCAAACCGTGAGAGACTCTTGAATGCTGACAAAAACTGAGGACTGATGGATGTGGGGGGAGGGGGGATGGGCATGGAGGAGGGCACTCGTGGGGATGAGCACTGGGTGTTATGTGGAAACTAATTTGACAATAAACTATTTGTAAAAAAAAAAAAAAAAAAAAGTTCTGCCTTCTACCCTGGCTTTCTCTTTAACCATGCTGTCCCCACTCCCCATTTCTGTTTCATTCCTCCCAGAGCTGCTCTCTCTAAAGTCCTTGGTGCCCTCTAACTATCAAAGCATTCTCATTCAGATCTTTCTTGACCCTCTTGAGTTCTTCCTCAATCTCAAGTGCTTTTTACTTTTGTTCCCAGTAACACCTCTCTTTTCCCGCTCTCTTCCTACAACAGAATGTGTGGAGGGGATTGCAAATGGGTCAGGGTTGCTGAGCCACAGAGTATAAGGAGGGAGCAGTGGGTAATGAGGTTGGGGAGTCAGTAGGGCCTTACATGACTTGATAAGGTGCTTATACCTTATTATGTAAGCAATAGGGAGCCATTGAAAGTTTTGAGTAAGAGATAGGGGCAGACTTTATTTTTAGAAAGGTCACTCTGATGACATGTAGAAAACATTCTGAAAGGAGCACTGTCTTAGGAAAGGTTGCTAGAAGCTTTCCTCACTTGTAAAAGGAACATAATAAATATTGCTGTGCCTCAGGGTCATATGAGTTGAGTAACAATTGGAAGAAATGCCTTCAAAGACCATACAGGGCTGTCCAAATAGTACCAAAATGTGCTCTATTGCTTCTCAGGAAATACCATATATTTGTGATAACTTTCTTGTAGAGAATCATAGAACATTAGAGCTGGGAAGTGTTTGAGATGGAAGAAATGTTAGAGATCTTAGATGATGCAATCACCTTATTTATACATTAGAACTTGGGGTTCCCTTCTCTCACCCCTTCAGAGAAGGGAGCAGTCACTGAAGCTGGAGGAAAGAATCATGTGCACGGGAACCTCCTGAGCAGAATTCCACTTTGATTGAAGGACATGCCAACTCACGCTGACTCCACAGGAAGAGAACTAGGGTCATAGATATCCCCTACTTCACTCTCCCCTCTATCTCCAAATTTCTGCTGGGAACCCAAGGACGAGGAGGCCCACCAATGTCATCTGGCAGAAGGGAGGGTGGAGAAAAGTGGAGAGTGAATGGAGATGTCCAGCACAGAACCCATGCCTGCCTACTTCACCAGTATGCCCAGTGCGAAGGACAGAGCTTCTGTCATACAAATAAATGAATAATAAATAAAGTGAATGTTCCTAGTATGTATCTTATTCCACTCTAATTCTCATTACTTTTAAGTGGATGATATGGAGATTTGCCTAATTCAGATTAATCTGAACACCTTTAAGTATATGGGACTTCCAGGCATCTCTTTGTTTGACGAATGAGAACTGGATGGGGTAGAGGGCAGTGACAATACATCAGGGACAAAGCTATAAAAGTGTCTCCACTTCTTAGAGAATAATAGCTGGCGTTTAACTATTCTGGTGTTATAATATATGGGGAGGGAACTTGCTTGATTGGGTACAAAGTCAGGATGCACAAGCTTTGTACTGAGGAGGGAAGGGACTGACTGGCCACCATGACTCTATTCATACTCTCTCCCAAAGGTGAGTTGATGGTAACAAGTGGAGCAAATGCCTGGGACCCTGATATGAACCCAGGATTCCAAGGTGACAGAACTGCCTACTTCATTATGCAATGACAGGAATCAACGTGTATCCTATTTAAGCCACCATTGTTTCTTGGTGACAGCAGCTCAGCCTGGATCCTAACCAAGGCAGGGAGCTTCAGGGGATGAGGAGACAGAATCCTAGGACTGTACTTTTCAGCTGAGTTTGACAGGTTTTAGAAGGGGGATTCAAGAATTAGGAGTGAGTGAAATAAAAACTGTTACACTGAGAGTCCCCGTATGAACCTAAAAGGAAGCAAATTACTATGTACTACTCTGTGGTCTCTGGATCCTGAGGAAACATTTCCTAGTGAAGGTGGCATGTGCATTCTCCATGGGACAGTATTGGCACCTAGATAACATAGGAGCAGTTGGGGGTATAACGTTGGTGAGCTGGCGTCAGGAACCAGGCGGAAATGTAGATGAAGCAGGTGGCAGATGGCGGCATATTTGGAGATGGTTTATTTTGAGTAGGAGGGCGTGGTTTGGATATTCATTGAAAAGATTTTGAGGAAAAAAGTATGATATTGTTGATTTTAGTCTCCCCTTATACTCCAGAATGATGGCCCTGGGAATATCTATTACTTTGCCTACTTATGATAGAAGAGTTTTAGGCCCAAATCAAATTACCATGCTTTGGTTACAGAAGGCAGCTAAAAGAGAGGAAGAAGCCTGAGTGCCCAGAGAAGGTCGGGGGGGGAGGGGGGGGTACAGACTGTGTCACTAGGAACTCAGTTTGCTCAGTGCCTCAGATTGGACCAGCTCCCAGGGGTCTAATCAAGATAACAGAACTCTCAAGGGGCACCTGGGTGGCTCAGTCAATTGAGCGTACAACTTCGGCTCAGGTCATGATCTCAGGGTTCATGAGTACAAGCCCCACCTCAGGCTCCGTGCTGGCAGCTCAGAGCCTGGAGCCAGCTTGGATTCTGTGTCTTCCTCTATCTCTGCCCCTCCCCTACTCATGCTCTATCTCTCTCTCTCAAAAATAAATAAACATTAAAGATAATAGAACTCTCAGAGGTGGATATGTAAATCGGAATTTGAACTATCCATTTACAAAGTAACAATTTCTTTCCAATTTCTGAATTTTATAGAACTATCATCTATGCCCCCTGTTCCTGGTAGTACAAAAGTAACTGTGTTATTATATTGCTGTAATTTTTTAATGTTACTGACAATTAGATTAAGCCATGGCTTAATTACCTTGAGGAAAATGGCCATATTTTGAAAAACCAGCACCACATTAAATATTCACATAAGAAGGCACTTCCAAATGTCATAAACATAAAAGCATGGAAACATATACATCACCTCTTAGAAACGACAAAATACTGTAATGATCCAGAGATCCCTTAATGAATAAAGGTTCAGAGGAAAGCAGGCAGACACAAACTGGCGGTTCCCAAACCAAAGGACCTGTAGTGGCATTTGGAAAGGGGAGGGAGAGGGCTGTCCTCCTGGGACAGCAAGTAAGGCTTTCCAGGAGGAGGCAGGATGCATAATATTGAAAGAACATATTCAATTTGTAATTATTTAGATTCGATTCTAGTTATGTATATAATTTAGTTTTAATTTCAAATTACCCTAAAGGAGAGTAAAGTTTTAATATTTAAAAAATAAGAAATATTCATTAATTCAATAAATATTTGAGTACATGTCAGGTGCCAGGCATCATGATAGATACTGAGGACACCATGATAAACTAGACAGCCTCTTCCTGCATGGAACTGACAGCTAAGTGGGAAAAACTGAGATACTGTAGTCCAGGCCCTGGGGCAGCTCAAAGAATGGTGACACCACCATGTCAAAGAATATTCCAGTGGCCCTTCAGTTTCTCCACTCAGAACAATGTGGGACTAACACTAACAAGATCTCACTCTGGCCTTCCTCTTTCTAGGCTCCCCATGCACCATCTTGTGTCTATACATTCTCTCTTTAAAACCAATAAAAATAGTAACATTGATTAGACTTTAGGGTTTTTCTTTTTTTTCTATGAATGCAGTCATTCACTTTCCTGTTGCTGATCTTTTGCCTACAGAACATAATGTTTTACAAAGTGTTTTTTAGAGATAACATCATATCCATTAAGAGTTAATGTATTGCTGTAACCTTCAGAGAGAAGGCTTATTTTCAAGCTCTGGTGGACATCTCAATGTCACCTCAACCTCAAGAATAGAATATACCAATCACCATAAACTACCACATTCATTGAGCAATTAGAATGTAGCCAGTACTACACTAGACATGCAGGGTGCAAAGATCAAAAGGATATGGTTCTTGGTTTCCAACAGCTTAAGGCTAAGGTGCTTATGCCTAAAATGATAACCAGTCTAACTAATGAGCTTATGGCAAATCAAGGACATAGACAGGTAGCTCTGAAGTTCTGTGGAGGAAACTTGTGGGTTGCCAAGATTTCAGTAAGCTACTGTTTCTTCTCATTTAACTCCTTAAAGGTATTCCATCACCTATAGTTAAAAACCTATCCAGACTTACCTATTTGGACCAAACCTATCTGTGCAGCTTCAACTTCAAGCTTTTGCTCCTATCCAATGAATTCTTTAGTTTGGGTTTTAGTTTGAGCTAAATTGGCTCTCAGTGAATTAAAAGATCAATTCCTGAATACACTGTGCTAGGCACAAAGTGAAAATATTGTAATGTAAGACATCTCTTCCTTCTAGCGGGTTTACAGTCTAATTGAAGGTGATGAGATGGGAATCCTGAAGTTAAGATACAGAGTAATATAAAATCTAGAGTTAAATACTAAACCATGGAATGCAATTGGGGAAACTCTCCCGACCTTATTATTGGTAGGTAGGTTTTCACTTATCTGACAAAGGTAAACGTTTTCCATCACCAGTGGAGTGAAAAACAGTTCACAAGTCCAATGGGACTCTGAATAAAGTGAGTCTGGGCAAGGGAAGGGTTGGTTTAGTCAATTTTCCTGATGGGTGATGGCAGCTGAGACCTAGGAAGTAGCTGTTTCTGGACTCAGGCCATCCTAGGGAGAGGCTGCTCTCCTGTGGTTCAAACGATGCCGGCCATACCTTGTGAGTCACTTACTTAGAGCTCAGGTATGCTCTCTACTCAGGCTGGTCAGGCAGTCAAGGGCTAAAATGAAAGGAAGTGGAAGCCAAATTACCACTTATGGTGGACATACTAAGTTCTAGACACAGTACAGTAGATGGTTAATATTTTACTTAACGATATCTCATCTTATTTTTATAAGAGAGGATACATATTGCCATTCCCTTTTTATAGGTCAGAAAAGTGAAGCTCATGGAGTTTGAGTTACTTGTCCCGCGTCAAACGCCTAGTCACTAGCACAGTTGAGATTCAAACACTGACCTCACTTATTTCACTCCTAAGCCTGTGCTCTTCTTAGGCCTTACTCATAGTGGATGCTGACGGGACAAGGGCCTCCCAGGCAGCAATTGCATAGGCCACGCCCCCTCACAGGGTAGCCATCTTGCCTTCTGCAGTGCAGAAAAGAGAAGAAGAGAAACCATATTTCTGAATGCTTTCCTATGGCCTGTCCTGTGTTTTACTGCTACAAGTTTCTGCTGGCAGAAAGTACCACCCACATGCACCATATTTGCAATGAGAAATTATTAGTTTAACTCCAGTGAAGGCAGTGGGGCAAGCGAATACAACATTCCCTTCTATATTGTATGCATGCAATAAACAGTGAGCAGAAAAGAAAAAAAAAAAACTCAACATGCTCAGATGATGAAACAGCTGGAATTCATCAAGGCATTCCAAGGGAAAACCCACAAAACTGCAAAAATTCTGTTTAATCCTCACTGTCACCTCTTGCCCCCTGCCAGTAACTCGTGAAAAATAATGACATGAAAGATATTTCTTGTTTAGAGTTTTTCTCACTTTTTACCAGCACTCCTCAGTGAAGACTTTTCCTGCCCTTCCTCATGCAGGATGGAGGCAGAGATGTGCAGTAAAATAAACACAGATAAAGGAATTAGGAGGCCTGGATTCTAGTCCTAGCCTGCTTGTAACAGTTACATAATTTTAGGTAAATAACTATTGATTCTCTGACCTCCATTACCTCATTGTCCAATTGGAGAATTTTTCTATTAAAACTAGCACCAGTATTCAATGGTGTAGAAACTGAAACTGAGTTTAGGTGACCTCATCTAATAAGAAAGATGCCCAGATAGCAGGGATTTGAACATGGCTGAATGGCTTGCACAGGAACCCAAACAGGAGACAGTAGTAGAATCATTTCTTTCCTTGCTAAGGGCACACCCAAGAACTATTTTGCTGATTGTTTTCTACTCTTTGCATGGTTAGAGACCAGTTACCAAGTTATTAAAGAAAAAAGCTAAAAGGATGTGGGAAGAGGAGATGACAAGGAAATATCTTACTCTAGATGCTTAATAGAGATTTAAGAAAAGCCAAGCAGGTAAGGTAGAACTTCAATAAGATAAGAGAATATGAATAGACATTTCTCCAAAAAAGACATACAAATGACTAACACACCCATGAAAAGATGATCAACATCATTACTCATTAAGGATATGCAAATCAAAACTACAACGAATTACTATTCTATACCCATTTGGATGGTCCACCTCTAGGTATATGCCCATAGAACAAAAAAACAGATACTCAAACAAATACTTGTACATGAACGTTCATAGCACCACTATTCATAATAGCTAAAAAGTAGAACAAACCAAATGAGTGGCTGGACAAATTGTGGTTTATACCTACAATGAACTATTATTCGGCCACAAAAAGAATGAGGTGCTGATGTTATGCTACAACGAAGAAGAACCTCAAAAATATTATGCTAAGTAAAAGATGCCAGACAGAAAAGGTTACATACTGTATGCTTTCATTTATGTGACATATCCAGAAAAGGTAAATACATAGAAACAGAAAATAGATTGATAGTTGCCAGGGGCTGGAGGGAGGGAGGATTGGGGAGTAACAGCTTAATAGATACAAGGCTTTATTTTGTGGTAATAAAAATGTTTTGGAAATAAGTGGGGGGGTGGTGTTTATACAAAACTGTGAATGTGCTAAATGCTAGTGAATTGTTCACCTAAAAATGATAAATCTTGGGGCATCTGGGTGGCTCAGTCAGTTAAGCGTCCGACTTTGGCTCAGGTCATGATCACATAGTTGGTGGATTTGAACCCCATGTTGGGCTTTGTGCTGACAGCTAGCTCAGAGGCTGGAGACGGTTTCAGATTCTGCATCTCCTCTCTCTGACCCTCCCCTGCTCACGCTGTCTCTCTCTCTCAGAAATAAATCCTAAAAATGATAAATTTTATGCTATATGAATTTAACCTCCCCCCCAAAAAAATACAGATAAGCAATGAATATGTCTTAAAAAAAGGAGCTCTTTATATAACAAACCTGCTTTGATATCACCTCGTGTGTTTTAAAATCCCTTCCATGTAGAATTTCAGGAACTCAAAAGATGTTGAAACTCTTAAGTTGAAAGTTAGCACCTCTCCATATATCTGAGATAATCTCAGAATATATCAGGAACATGCTGATTCCTTGACAGGTACATACCTACTCATCATATACATCTATCGTTTTCAACACTATTTTAGTAACCAAGTCTGCAGCTCTTCAATTCTATCACTTACCATGGTCTGTCCTCAGGTCCCTTTCATTTCTTTATCCTTCTTTTTCCTTTAGGGTTATGTTTTTTGTTGGGTTTGGTTTGTTTTTTTCTTCTGTGGAAAGTCGTGGTTTGTATGATGACTGGAGAAGAAAAACAAAAACCCAAATCAACCAAGCAAACAAAAACACCTCTGATGGTGAGCCAGAAAATAGCTTGGGTGGAGAGGCCTGAGTTAAAGGAAGGGAATTGGAGTTGGAAAGTGCATGGAACAGTGTCCAACACTTGACATTGAAGAACACCATAGCTCATGCGGTCCCATGCATATAAAACTCTGCTAAGCACCGCTATTTTGATTTACTTAGTCTAAGAGTTCCTTATTTCTATTAAATCCCACAGTGAATTTTCAATGTTATTGAAAAGTTCAGTCTAGAGATCTTGATATGCAAGCTGAAACTGGACCATTCTCAGCTTGGGCACAGTCTGTCCGAGGTGTAGCCAGCTTACTCACACACTCTGTTCACCCCCTCACTCTGACCTCTTAGTGTGTCTGGAGTGTAGACGCACTTTCTTCTGTGGAGTTTTCAGTGACCACATCAACTGACCCCCAGCGGTGTGCAGTGTTTAGAAATGTTTTTCTCTCTCAAGTTTCCATTTTCTTGTTAAGTGCAATAAACCAGCACAGAAATTGCTTCCATCAAGCCCTGTGTTTGATTCTCTGGGGTTTCAGTGCAGTACATTGTGTTGCTTATGACATCATGGTCTCCATGGCAACACCCCAATGAGACTTTTCATGGTCAAAAGAAAAATAAATGCAAAGAAATTTCTGTTCAATTTTAATAGTCTTGGTTATTCATTATTGAGAGCAAAGGGAGTAGGAAGAATTGGATTGTATTACTTGAGGCTAACCACAGACATCTGAAGCCAAATATTTAAGACTCCCAATCAGTAATCTCCATTCTTCTCCATTTGTTCCTTATCCTCCCTTGAAGTGTATGGTAGTGAAACTCTTCTGGGGCTCACTTGGATAGGTATTCTGGGAACAGAGAAGTGAAAAAGAACCTGACTGTGAACATGGAAGAGGCCCCAGATGGCAAGAGCCCAGGATTAAGACCCCTGCCCCATCATAGTAAACTGGTTCCTGACTAACTGGGCCATCATTAGTTAGTCAGTCAAATTCTCTGTGCCAGTTTTCTAAGGTGCTAAAGGAAGGCAGTGCAAGGCAGAGTGTATGCTGTGAGGATAAAATATCTGATTTCTTAATATTTCAGACAATGCATTTTTAGAAACCAACTAGCAAAACATATAATATAGTTAGATCTCGGAATCAGTTATGATGATTGTTAGACTCATAACACTTTCAAAGAAAATATGCTTCCTGCCAAAAGGGGAGGGGGGCATAGGCAGTCATATTTGATGCTCTGTCACCTTGCCCCTGCCGTTAGCTACATGTAAAAATTCCATAATCTAGCCTGATGAGAAAAGGAGATAGACAAACCAGACTCTTATCTAGAATATTCCTTGGGAAATTGTTAGAGTAAGGATCCAAAAATGAGATTATAGGTAAAGACGAGTCATGAGGAAGGGTCAGAGGGAAAGGAGACTGTGGGGGTTGTAGGCAGCAGAGGAAGAATCGGGATACTGGCAAGGTCGATTTTATAAGGCAGCACATAGTGACTTCAGTAAAAAACTATAGGGAAAGGATGAAAAGGTTAGGTTAGTTGGTAGCAGGAGGAAAATAGTGTATGTTGCAGAGGGAAAAGAAACCAGGAGATACCACTTACCCAGCAAAACTTAGCTGGGTACCTATTACACGATGTTGGGCATTGGAATCTAATAGCAACACAGACACAGTTCTGACTTCATGGAGCCAACAACTGAAGAGACAATTATTTTTTAAAAAGATGTCCTAAGTGCTCTGACAGAGAATTAACAGGGTATAGTGGCAGCACTAAGTTAATGTGGGCAGTTCAAGAAAGATTTCCTAAGGGCGCCTGGGTGGCTCAGTCAGTTAAATGTCTGACACTTAATTTCAGCTCAGGTCAAGATCCCAGGGCCTTGGGATCAAGTCCTGAGTTGGCCTCCTCACTGAGCATGGAGACTGCTTAAAACCCTCTCTCTCTTCCTCTACCCCTCCCCTGCATGATCACGAACGTGCTCTCTCGCTCTCTCTCTCTCAAAAACAAAACAAAACAAAACAAAACAAAAATGGAAGCTGATAGTTTAAAATCTTAAGTGTGACCTATGGACAAGTAGGGGTAATTCTGGTGAGAAAACAGATATAGTGAAAGAATATTTAAAACTATTGAGAAAAGATATGAAAAGGCTTGGTAGTGAGATGTCAGCCGTTTTCTAGGTCCAAGACATATGTATTTCTATAATTAACTGCATTCTCTTAATCTTTGCTTTGAGCAAAACTTTGTTCTTCTTGATCTGTAGGGTGTAACTAAAGCAAATGGCTACAAGACTTAAGGGATTTCACATGAAGCTGAGGTGTATGGGGACATATAAGACATGGTCCTGCTTTTAAGAAGCTTAGGGTATAAATGACAGGTGAGCCATCAGGAACAAATAAGCAAGCAAACTGGTAATGACATGTGCTACATTCTAAATACCAAGTTATAAGTGTAGATAGCACATGCTATATGAATTCAAAGGTGGCAAATCATAATTTTTAAATTATTAAATACAAATTCTCTTAAAAACAGATATTTGCTTTGTGGTTACCATGGAATTTACGTAAAACATCATGTAACAGTCTATTTTAAGCTGATAACTTCGACTGCATATAATAATGCTCTGCTTTTACTTCTCACTCTGTGTTATTAATGTCACAATTGACATCTTTTCATATTGTGTATCTATTTAGCATATTTTAATACTTACAGTTATTTAAAATAATTTTCTATTAGCTTTTATACTAGTGATTTGCTTACCACCATTACAGTATTAACAGTATTCTGTAATTGTATATATATTTACCTTTACCAGTGAGTTTAATGCTTTCATATGCTTCATGTTTCTGTTCAGCATCCTTTTATCTCAAGTTGGAGAACTCCGTTTAGCATTTCTTCTGAGGCAGTCCTAGTGGTGATGAACTTCCTCAGCTTTTGTTTGTCTGGGAAAGTCTTTATCTCTCTTTTATATTTGAAGGAGAGTTTTGCTGGGTATACTACTATTGGTGCAGGGGTTTTGTTTTTTTGTTTTTGTTTTTCTGCCAGCACTTTAAATATATTATACAACTCCCTTCTGACCTGCAAGGTTTCTGCTGAGGAATGTGCTGGTAGTCTTATGGGAGTTCTGAAAAGGAAATTAATATACAGTCCCATTTCTAATAGCAAGAAAATATTTAGAAAAAAATTTAACCAAGGAGACGAAAGACTTGTACACTGAAAACTATAAAACATTGATTAATGACATTTTAAAATAGAGAAATGAGAAAATATGTTGTGCTTATGCTTTTATGACTTAATGCTATTAAAATGCTCGAACTACCCAAAACAATTGACAGATTCAATGCAATTCCTATCAAAATTCCAAGGACGAGTATAGGCAAGATGGCGGAGAAGTAGGGAGCTCCGTACCTGCACTCGCGCCCAGGCATCACACCGAAAAGATCTGAAGCCATCAGAAACCGTACCACACCCAAGAGATTGGGAGAGAAAGGACGCAGACTCCACTGAGAAAGCCTTCTAATGTGAGTGCGAACTGGGGAAGTAAAAATGTCGGGCCTGAATTGGAGACTGGAGAGACGGGCCACCCCACTCTGTGGGGAGTGAGAGGGGAAAAAGAGAGTCCGAAACAGAAAAACCGCCGCTCGGGGTGTAGAAAATCTTTGCGCACAAAATACCTGCGCGTCAGGCCCCTCCACGCTCCAAGTCGCCCAGGAGGGGCTGCGCTCCGATTTGCTTCTTTGTGCAGGTGCCTGGCTGGCTGGGAGAGGCTGCGCGTCTGCAGCCATTACCCTCAAGGCGGGCTTGGACCCCTGAGGAGGCGCGCGGGCACCGGCGTCCATGCTCCTAGGTGGCTGGAGTTCTAGAGGGAAGGCAAGGCGCTAAAAACTGGCAGAAGTGACCTCGAGTTCGTGTTTTGGGTGATTGAGACACAGAGGGTGCTTTATTTCCTCACTCCAGCGGGCTCAGCGCTCAGGCAGACAAAGCCCCCCACCCCGCCCAGGCCCCCCAGCCCCACCCAAAGGAGAAAGGAGCAGAGGCTTCTGGCTCCGCCCCCAGAGCTAGCCTGGAAGATTGGAATCGCCCTGACGGGGAAGCCAGGGGATCGCCTGAGGCAATTTCAGCGGGGTGCTTGGCCTAGGATTTGGAGGCTGGGACTGGCCTGGGTTGAAAAGCGCAACAAACTTTGACTGAGCCGCTGGCCCAGGAAGTTTACACGCCTATAAAAGCGAGGTGGAGCGCCGCCACTCTCCTCCCTACAACCTCCAGGCAGAACTCCCGCCTGACTCA